GCTCCTGTCCCACCTCATCACAGCCCAGCCTCCTTGGAGCCCTACTTGGGGCGTGGAGGCTGCAGAAAGGGCTCAGTGTGGATGTGCTTGCATGTGTGAGGGCGTGAAAGAGCTGGTGGGAGAAGAGACCTATCATGATAACAATGGAAAACAGGGCAGCTGACATTTATATGGGGCTTTACAGTTTATCAACTTTCTCACATATGTGACCGAAGCGTTAGTTATTGCCTGAACTTGTTACTTATTGCATCTACTTTCTCTTTTTTTTCATTTATTTTTATTAGTTGGAGGCTAATTCCTTTACAATATTGTAGTGGTTTTTGCCATACATTGGCATGAATCAGCCATGGATTTACATGTGTTCCCCATCCCGATCCCCCCTCCCACCTCCCTCCCCATCCCATCCTTCTGGGTCTTCCCAGTGCACCAGCCCTGAGCACTTGTCTCATGCATCCAACCTGGGCTGGTGATCTGTTTCACCCTTGATAGTATACTTGTTTCAATGCTGTTCTCTCAGAACATCCCACCCTCGCCTTCTCCCACAGAGTCCAAAAGTCTGTTCTGTACATTTGTGTCTCTTTTCCTGTCCTGCATATGGGGTTATTGTTACCATCTTTTTAAATTCCATATATATGTGTTAGTATACTGTATTGGTGTTTATCTTTCTGGCTTACTTCACTCTGTATAATGGGCTCCAGTTTCATCCATCTCATTAGAACTGATTCAAATGAATTCTTTTTAATGGCTGAGTAATATTCCATGGTGTATATGTACCACAGCTTCCTTATCCATTCGTCTGCTGATGGGCATCTAGGTTGCTTCCATGTCCTGGCTATTATAAACAGTGCTGCGATGAACATTGGGGTGCACGTGTCTCTTTCAGATCTGGTTTCCTCGGTGTGTATGCCCAGGAGTGGGATTGCTGGGTCATATGGCAGTTCTATTTCCAGTTTTTTAAGAAATCTCCACACTGTTCTCCATAGTGGCTGTACTAGTTTGCATTCCCACCAACAGTGTAAGAGGGTTCCCTTTTCTCCACACCCTGTCCAGCATTTATTGCTTGTAGACTTTTGGATAGCAGCCATCCTGACTGGTGTGTAATGGTACCTCATTGTGGTTTTGTGCATCTACTTTCATAACATCCCTCCAAGGTAGGTCACTATTCCTCCTGTTTTACCATGGGGAAACAAGACATAGAGAAGTGATGTTAGCTTATTTAACATTTATATAGTGCTCACTATGTGCCAGATACTGTCTTAAAAGTTTTCACATGGGAGAGGGATAAATTAGGAATTTAGGATTATCATGTACACAGTATATACACACTATTATATGCAGCATAGATAACCATATAGAACAGGGAATTATATTCAATGTCTTATAATAATCTATAATGGAAAAAAATCTGGAAAAGAATGTGTGTGTGTGTATTCAGTTCTATATATATATCTATATTGAATCCCTTTGCTGTGCACCTGAAGCTAAGCAACATTGTAAATCAACTATACTTTAATAAAACATTTAAAAATATTTGAATGCTTTTACCTGCATTCATTTCCCATGTTCATGCAGCTAGGGAAGGGTTAAAACTGGGGCTTGAATCTGGCCTTTATGGATTTCACTATACCACATTTCTGCTCAAAGTAGCCCAGATGGTAAAGATTCTGCCTGCAATGCAGGAGACCCAGCTTCGATCCCTGGGTTGGGAAGATCCCCTGGAAAAGGAAATGGCAACCCACTCCAGTATTGTGAACTGGAGAATTCCATGGACAGAGGAGCCTGGCAGGCTACAGTCCATGGGGACGCAAAGAGTCGGACATGACTGAGTGACTAACACACACACACAAGCAGAAGTTACCTCTATCTGCAGAACCCCAAGTATGGCCACAAGTGGTTTCTATCTATCTATCATTTATCCACACATCCACCTTTTTTCTGATTAGAAATGTAATGCCTTATTTATAAAGATCGCAAACATTATTGAAATAAATAGCAGAGAAAGTAAAAATCCCCCTAAACCCTCAAACCTAAAGATACTCATTCTTACCTGTTTGGTATATATTCTTTCAGATTTTTTTCTAGTGTTTGCCAGCACACACACTTTTCTCTTATTTTTGAAATAGGATCTGGCACATAGATAATACTTTCCACCATTTATGTAACTTCCATTTCACATAATAGTAAACTTTGGAAATCTCTCCATGACTCTATACATCTACTTTGTTTTATGACTCCATTGTATACAGATGACTATTAACTAGTCACTTTTTGATAGACATAGAGATTTTCCTATTTTTTTCTCAATTACAAACAATGCTGCAATAAATATCCTTGTTCAGTTCAGTTCAGTTGCTCAGTCATGTCCGACTCTTAGCAACCCCATGGACTACAGCATGCCAAGCCTCCCTGTCCATCACCAACTCCCGGAGCCTACTCAAACTCATGTGCATTGAGTCGGTGATGCCATCCAACCATCTCATTCTCTATTGTCCCCTTCTCCTCCCACCTTCAATCTTTCCCAGCATCAGGGTCTTTTCAAATGAGTCAGTTCTTCCAATTAGGTGGCTAAAGTACTGGAGTTTCAGCTTCAGCATCAGTCTTTCCAATGAACACCCAGGACTGATCTCCTTTAGGATGGACTGGTTGGACCTCCTTACAGTCCAGGGGACTCTCAATAGTCTTTTCCAACACCACAGTTCAAAAGCATCAATTCTTTGGCATTCAGCTTTCTTTATGGTCCAACTCTCACATCCATACACAACTACTGGAAAAACCATAGCCTTGACTAGATAGACCTTTGGTGGCGAAGTAATGTTCCTGATTTTTAATATGCTGTCAAATTGGTCATAGCTTTTCTTCCAAGGAACAAGAGTCTTTTAATTTCATGGCTGCAGTCACCATCTGCAATAATTTTGGAGCTCCCCAAAATAAAATCTGTCACTGTTTCCATTGTTTCCCCATCTCTTTGCCATGAAGTGATGGGACCAGATGCCATAATCTTAGTTTTCTCAGATGATGTTGAGTTTTAAGCCAACTTTTTCACTCTCCTCTTTCACTTTTATCAAGAGGCTCTTTAATTCCTCTTTGCTTTCTGCCAAAAGGGTGGTGTCATCTGCGTATCTGAGGTTATTGATATTTCTCCTGGCAATCTTGATTCCAGCTTGTTCTTCATCCAACCCAGTGTTTCTCATGATGTACTCTGCATAGAAGTTAAATAACATGGATGACAATATACAGCCTTGATGTACTCCTTTCTCAATTTGGAACCAGTCTGTTGTTCCATGTCCAATTCTAGCTGTTGCTTCTTAAACTGCATACAGATTTCTCAAGAGGCAGGTCAGCTGGTCTGGTGTTCCCATCTCTTGAAGAATTTTTCACAGTTTGTTGTGATCCACACAGTTAAAGGCTTTGGCATAGTCAATAAAGCAGAAGTTTCTCCGGAACTCTCTTGCTTTTTCGATGATCCAACGGATGTTGGCAATTTGATCTCTGGTTCCTCTGCCTTTTTTAAATCTAGCTTGAACATCTGGAAGTTCATGGTTCACGTACTATTGAAGCCTGGCTTGGAGAATTTTGAGCATTATTTTGCTAACATATGAGGTGAGTGCAATCGTGCTGTCATTTGAGCATTCTTTGGCACTGCTTTTCTTTGGAATTGGAATGAAAACTGACTTTTTCCAGCCCTGTGGCCACACCTGAGTTTTCCAGATTTGCTGGCATATTGAGTGCAGTACTTTCACAGCATCATCTTTTAGGATTTGAAATAGCTTAACTGGAATTCCATCACCTCCACTAGTTTTGTTCATAGTGATGCTTCTTAAGGTCCACTTGACTTCGCATTCCAGGATGTCTGGCTCTAGGTGAGTGATCACACCATCGCGATTATCTGGGTCATGAAGACCTTTTTTGTATAGTTCTTCTGTGTATTCTTGCCACCTCTTCTTAATATCTTCTGCTTCTGTTAGGTCCATACCATTTCTGTCCTTTATTCTGTCCTTCATAGATCCTGCCAAATTGCCTGCCAAAAGACTGGACCAATGCACATGTCCGTCAGTAATGTTTGAGAACACACATCATCTCACTTAATCCTCAATCAATCTTCTAAGGCTAATAGGTAGGAAACTTATTTGGTGGTGACCCTGGGTTGTGCATTCATGCAACTTTGTGGCCCTAAATTCCCATTTTACTGAAGCAAACATTGATGCATTGGGAGATTAGGCTACTTGCTCAAAGTGACCTACCTGAAGAGCGTCAGAGCTGGGATTCCAACCCAGGTCGTCTGACTCCAAAGTCAATGGTAACCAGGTCCATGGCCATCTTGAGCCTCTTAAAGTTGCTGCAGCCCTCTTAGTGAAGAAATGGTAGGAGGGAATCAGGTTGCACTCTGGGAAGTGCCACTGCACCCCTCCTGAATGCAAACAGAAGCCCTGCAGCTCCAGTGTTGTCCATCCTTCAGGCCCCTGTCAGTGCCTCAGTGAGAAGCCATCTCCAGAGGCAGAATAAATCAGGTAATTTGGATCAGCAAAAGGCATTGGAGAAATAAATTGCTGTTGCAATGTGAATATAATAAGGCAGTTAGGTAGATGGAAATGGTCATCTTTTGATTGTATGAGTGAGTATTATGTGCAGCAAATTTTAAGTCCAAGCTGCCTTTTCCTGGCCTCTCCCCACCACTAGCTGCACACTTCTAACTGCCCCCTCCCCCAGATTGTTCAGTTGGTGTGTGCTGTGGCCTCTGGGAACACTAATCTAACTTTTCATTCTATCCCAGGCTAAATATAATTAGGAAGAAGCTCTTCTGCCAAAATAAAGTCACATGTCAAATAGAGGTGATTTTTTTTTATATCTACTCTTTCAGCTTATGTGCACCAGTATTGACTCATAATAGTCTTGTACAATCTGGATTTGACTCTATGGCTAAGGAAGATGTTAAAATTGATTTTTTTTTGTTACTGAAATTTCATTTGTTTTCTCTTTTCCCTTCCCCCAAATGTGAACAGATGCACTCTCACTAAAAGGAAAAAGGCTGGATTTTTATGGCAAAGCTGACACATATGTAAGCCTGACCAACAATATTCCTGGACTAAGTCAATTCACAGTAGGCCTTGACCTGCGATTTGTGAGTGTCAAATCAAGTGATTGTATGGCTTTCTCCTACATTACTAATAATACTTTCCTGGGCAGAGAAGACATAGAACTTGAACTCTCGGAAGATCATCAGCAGCTAATCATGTACAAATTTGGCAAGACCATTCACATCTGTTACCACCTGATTCCATTTCAGTGGCACACAGTATGGTTGGTATGGAATGGTGTGAAAGGCAGATTAGAGCTCTTCCTGAATAAGAAAAGGATACTGATAATTATGGATCAACCACAAAACCTAGCGCCTAATAGGACTCTGGTTCTAGGACATTTTCTCAAGAAAGGCAATGACCAGGTTCAAGGCCTGGTTCCTAGGTTCACCAGCAGCTTGTGCCAGTTTCAACTCTGGAACCACATCCTGGGAAATGAAGAGTTTATGACGTGTCTGAACAGAAATGTGTTTAGTTGGGAAAAAGATGTTTGGCTTGTCAACAAGATCATTCCAACTGTTGATGTGAAACTGAACTGCTGTGAGTAACGGATGAATTGTCTTTCTTAGCAAGGGTAGTGATGGTACAGAACTCTTCTGTTCGCTACTCTAAACAACCCACTCCTAGGCTCAGGTTCTGTCTTCCTCAGAGGGGCCTAAGGTTGCCACAGTTTTGTCATTTTTCTTTTAACTTAAAGCAAACATTTTCTGTTTTGTATTTTGATATGATTTCAAATTTACAGAAAAATCACAAGAATAGGACAAAAGATTTCTATATATTCTCTACCCAGCTTCACTGACTGTTCCAATTTCCTCATATGTTTTATCTTTCTCCCTCTCACTCTCCTTATTTTCCCCTACTCCACACACACACTCTCTCTCACACCCACCCCCCCACACACATACACACAAATTATTTCCTAATAATTTGAGATTAAGTTGCAGATATAAGACTTCATTTCAATCCCTTAGTATCTCGGTGTGTAATTCCCTGAGAATAAGGAAATTCCCTTACATAACCACAGTACGGTGGTCAAAATCAGGAAGTTTTACATTGATACAATTCTAATATCTAATTCATAGTCCATATTCAAATTTATCCAATTGTCCTAATAATTTCTCTTGTTTTACTTGGTCCAGGATCCAATTCAGATCATGCATTTGATTTAGTTATGAATCTTTATAGATTCTATCTGGAACAGATCCTTTGTCTTTCCCTGCCTTTCATGATGCCAATTGGTCTCATTACTGCTGATGGAAACTTTGATCAATTGTTTCTGATAATGACTGTTAGATTTCTCCACTGCAAAGTTACTATTTTTTTCCTTTGTAATTAAGTAATTTCCTGGGAGATATTTGGAAACTATGTCAATATCCTGTTCTTATTAAACTTTCACCCAGTAGTTTTATATCTATTGATGATTCATGCCTCAATCACTTATTATTATAGTGACTACAAAATGATGATTTTTAGAACTCCATCATTTTCCCTTATTTATTAGTTAGTATTCTATTGTGAGGAAGAGTGTCTTCTTCTTCCACATTTACTTATTTATTCCTCTGGTTGTTTATATGTTTATATTAGCATGAACTCATTGACTCTTAGTTTATTCAATGGGTTACAATCTGTCACTATCTTTTATTTTCATGCTCAGATTGGCCCAGATTTGGCCAGTGGGAGTCCTTCAGTCTGGCTCTTGTGTCCTTTTGACACACTCCCATTATTTTTTGAGCACTTCCTTAGTTTCTAGCACAATATTAGTGTTAGAGGCTCATCTTGTACTTTTCCCACTCAGCCCAAGACTCAGCCATTTTACCAAAGAACCCCGATCCCTTTTAGTGGGAAATAATATTGGTAAACCAAATAATTTTTCTTTTGAAAGCAATGGTGATGTGGGAGAACCATTTGAAATGAAACTCTTGTAAGAAACTTGGGTTTTTGGAATTACACATGTATTTCTTTCCAGTTTTAAGGAGGAAATTTAAGATTGTTTTTCTCTGGATGACCCCACTTCTCAAATCCAATATTCTCCATCATCGTCAGCAGCAGCCAAAGCGTGGGCAAAGTCATTGATAACAGCACACAGACAGAATTTTTTCTCATTTCCTGAAATGTTAATTTATTCTTAGAAGAATATTATTTACTATTCTTATGGGTTTGGGAGGGGGTAGTGAGGGATTAGGGGCTATATCCTTGCCTAATAGGGCTCTTACTGACTCTGGAGATAGATTTTCACCAATGGTCTGGATGCTGTTTGAGTTAATGGCAGAGGCACATTCCGGAAGCTTTCTGTATTTCTTTGAGCTCAGACTAATACAAAGGAACAGGAGAGCTCTTCGTTTGAGCTACTACCTGAAGGCATTTGGTTTTTATCTGTTGTGAAGGCTTGAAAATGAAAGTGAAAAGTCCAGGCTGGCTCTGCTTACAAAAATTGAGCTAGGGACTAGTAGGTTAAGCCTGAACAGCTCACTCAAAGCAGTTTCAAGTAACTTTGTCTTTGATGGAATGAACCAGAAGTATGGCTCTATTAAATCCATATACTTAGCGGTGGTCTTTGAAAGCCTAATCTGGCCAGTGAATGGCAATGGTCTTTCCTACACTTTGCTGGTAAATGACTAAATCTAACTGAAGTGTTAAAGTGTTAGATGGCCCTCATTCATTTTGCTCTTTTGTACACTTTTTAATGCACAATCTATCCTCTTGTTCTCATTAAGTCCTGGTGGACATAATATACAAATAATCCAATACAATGAACAAGCAAAAGAAAACACAACCTAAAATAGTTAAAGGAGTAGAAAATGTTATTTTTATTATTCTGGTGTCTTCAAATGTTCTTTTCAAACCTTACACCAGGGGTTTCTAACCTGAGGTGCAGAATGGCTTTGACGGGTGAGCAAAGCCCTTGAGATGGTATGCACCATGCTAAAAATGTAAGGTGAATTTTTTCCCCCCGAGGACAGTCTGTAGTTTTCATCATATTCTAAAATAACATAATTGCTGCCTTTTACTGAGTCCTTGCTGTGTGCCAGGCACTTTATGGATGAGGAAAGAGAGGCTCTGAGAGTTTAAATAAATTGCTGAAGGTCACCCATCAGATAAGTAGCAGAGCAGGGATTTGAACAAAGATCTGTCCTGTTGCAGAGCCATTCTTTTCACCCTCCACAGCTTGCAGGACTACCTCAAAGGAGTCTGTGGCCCCCCAAAATCTTATGAGACACTGTCTTAGAAGCTTCCTTTGAAGCGAATTGCTGCTGCTGCTAACCCACCTGGCTATCAGCTATGATCACTGCCTGCTCCCCACTGAAGGAACTGGAACACCACAGAATTTCTTCTAACTCGATGCTGCCGTCTGACATCTGGGAAAAAGAGGGCAATTATCTGAGTAAATAGAAGTGGTTACTACATGTCTAGCTTCAGCTTTTGCCTAATAAATTGCTATTTATGTTCCATAGAAAGATTATGACTTTTCAAAAATAAATTGTAATGAGCACATTACTAGGTTATAATTCTCAATAAACCTACTTATTCATAAATTATATATGTATATATTTATATATTCATGAGAACAATGCTTTGGGGGAACATTTGCTGAAAACCATGGACACTACTTGAGTTTAATAAAGAAGTATTCATTGTAGTTGTCGATATCTCAGGAATAAACAAGGGGTTTATTTTAATAAAAGTGTTTATTATTTAAAAAATGATAATCAAGGCAAAGGTGCTAATAATTAGTAATTTCATTTTAGAGTAGTTTTAAAGCATCAAAATCATTAGTAATTTCATTTTAGAGTAGTTTTAAAGCATCTCTTTATTTAAAAATATTATAAATGCAATACATATTGTTGTGAATAAAATAAACTCAAATAATACAGAAGTACATTAAGTATACAGTAAAACCTACCCTGCATCCTCTCCACAGAGGTGTCATTTTTCTTTTAGAATTTTTTTCCTGTGGATTTATAATGTGTGTGTATAGTTTAAAAAACAAAAATAATATATGCATATGTACATGTAGTTTTGCAATTTGATTTATTTTAGCTTAATATGATGGCCACATCAGATGTTTAGTAATATATCCACCTCATTTGTTTTGGGGTTTCATATTAATATATCCATTATATAGGTATACCATAATTTATTTGACTAACTCACCATCAATGGGCATTTAAATTGCTTCCAACTCTGCAGTTACAAATAATGCTACAGTGAATTTTCTTGTATACACATCTTGGTATACATGGGCTTGTAATTTCACAGGAAACATGATTAAAAGTACAATTTCAAGATAAAAGGATATAAGCTTTTATAGTTTAAATTGATTTACCATTTTTGCTAGTTATTTTATTAATTTAACTATTCATTAAAATTGATTCAGTTTTTTTTTTAATTAATTAATTAATTTATTTATTTTTTTTATCACAACCATAGTGTATCTTTTTTTTTTTTTTACATGTATTCCCCATCCCGGTCCCCTCTCCCACCTCCCTCTCCACCCAATCCCTCTGGGTCTTCCCAGTGCACCAGGCCCGAGCACTTGTCTCATGCACCCAACCTGGGCTGGTGAACTGTTTCACCCTAGATAATATACGTGTTTCAATGCTGTTCTCTTGAAACATCCCACCCTCGCCTTCTCCCAGAGTCCACAAGTCTGTTCTATACATAGGAGTCTCTTTTTCTGTTTTGCACATAGGGTTATCGTTACCATCTTTCTAAATTCCATATATATGTGTTAGTATACTGTAATGGTCTTTATCTTTCTGGCTTACTTCGCTCTGTATAATGGGCTCCAGTTTCATCCATCTCATTAGAACTGATTCAAATGAATTCTTTTTAATGGCTGAGTAATATTCCATGGTGTATATGTACCACAGCTTCCTCATCCATTCATCTGCTGATGGGCATCTAGGTTGCTTCCATGTCCTGGCTATTATAAACAGTGCTGCGATGAACATTGGGGTGCACGTGTCTCTTTCAGATCTGGTTTCCTCGGTGTGTATGCCCAGAAGTGGGATTGCTGGGTCATATGGCAGTTCTATTTCCAGCTTTTTAAGAAATCTCCACACTGTTTTCCATAGTGGCTGTACTAATTTGCATTCCCACCAACAGTGTAAGAGGGTTCCCTTTTCTCCACACCCTCTCCAGCATTTATTGCTTGTAGACTTTTGGATAGCAGCCATCCTGACTGGTGTGTAATGGTACCTCATTGTGGTTTTGATTTGCATTTCTCTGATAATGAGTGATGTTGAGCATCTTTTCATGTGTTTGTTAGCCATCTGTATGTCTTCCTTGGAGAAATGTCTGTTCAGTTCTTTGGTCCATTTTTTGATTGGGTCATTTATTTTTCTGGAGTTGAGCTGGAGGAGTTGCTTGTATATTTTTGAGATTAATCCTTTGTCTGTTGCTTCGTTTGCTATTATTTTCTCCCAATCTGAGGGCAGTCTTTTCACCTTGCTTATAGTTTCCTTTGTTGTGCAAAAGCTTTTAAGTTTCATTAGGTCCCATTTGTTTATTTTTGCTTTTATTTCTAAAATTCTGGGATG